CTCCATCTGTTGTCCCTTGTCTGTGATGGCTTCCCCTGAGGTGGATTTAAGGGGCTGTCTTGTTCTGGATTGGACCTATTGATGTTTTGATGCCTTCATACATCCCTCTTATGTTCCCAGTAATTGCTGCAGTTTAAAGTTCGGTCCAGTAGTCGTTGGCACAGCGTCTTGCAGTGTGTTTGACTTTTGTTCCTTATAGCTCGGAGAATCTGAAGATTTTTCTCGCTGGGTAATCGCTTGTATTCCGTTAGAGCGGCACGCTTTGCTTCTATGATGGGGGTCATCACAGCGGATTTAGCTTTGAACCAGTCATGCGATTTCGAGGTACTTTTTCCAAAGGTGGCCAAGGCAGTGCGGTGCATTGTATCCCGTAAGGTGGTCCACTTCTCAGTTGCGGAGTCCCCTGACTGTAATGTTGCTAGATGATTCTCAAATCTCTCAGCAAATTGCTCTTTAAGATCAGGCTGGCTCAACTTAGTGACATCAATACGAGGGCTCCCTTTCTTCTTGCCACGGTGGAACCTTTTCGGATGGAGCCTGACCTTGCAACACACCAAGGAGTGGTCTGTGTCACAGTCCGCGCTGTGGTAAGAGCGTGTGGAGGACGTTCTTAATAGCGGTTCGTCTGACAAGGATAAGGTCCAGCTGATGCCACTGCTTTGAGCGCGGGTGTCTCCAAGAGACCTTGTGCTGAGGTTTGGTCTTGAAGAAAGAGTTGGCTATGCAGAGTTTGTGATAGGTGCATAGCTCGAGCTGTCTCTGGCCATTGTCGTTCATCTTGCCTATGCCAAACTTTCCAAGGCAAGAAGGCCATGATCTTTGATCAGCTCCTACTCTGGCGTTGAAGTCGCCCAGAAGGATAAGTTGTTCTTTGTTTGGGATGTTGCTGATCGTGGCTGTGAGCTGATCATAAAACTCGTCTTTAATTTCAGGTGTAGCAGAGAGTGTTGGAGCATACACGCTGACGAGAGTTACAGGGCCTGCCGTGGTGTTCAGGCAGAGGGTGAGGAGTCGCTCTGAGCCGCTGTTGCCTGGCTTTACCATGTTCAGCAGGTTGTTCTTCACTGCAAAGCCCACCCCATGTTGACGCGGTACATTGGGGCTTTTCCCCTGCCAGAAGAAGGTGTAGTCTTTCTCCTTCAGTCTTCCAGAGTCTGCAAGTCGTGTTTCTTGTAAGGTGGCAATGTCCACGTTAAGCCTCCTAAGTTCGTCGTTAATGATGGCTGTTTTCCTGGAGTCGCTGACGTCCTGAAGGTCTTCTGAGAGGCCCGTCAGCATTGTTCTAACGTTCCAGCAGCCTAGTTTCAGGACTGGTTTCTTTTGATGATTTTTTTTATTGCCTGGTGCAAAGTTTGCAGTCTGCCTGTTGGATATCTCCTAATCTCCATGCACCCAATGAAGAAAGCAAACCGTGGCGGGACAGCACCTTATTGGCTGGGGCTGCCCAGCTTGAGGCGGGGCGGTAGCTGTCCAGTGGGATTCGAAGATCCCTCCCACCGACGAGAACGACCCCTGGCGCTTCACTCTACGCCAATCGAGCAGTAGCTTATCACCGGTAAACTGCCATTCTCCGTGTTGTGTCTACGTCATGGGCGTAGCTGGAGTGTCCTCTCCAGGTGTAGTGCGAGGTGTGTTGGCGTGTAGTGTAGGCGGATGCTAGCCTGGGCAGTGTTTTATGGAGAACAAGCTGTTGCCCATGTAACATGTTCCCCTCTCCACGTCACTGATGGGGCCAAAGGAACAACAAGGTCGTTACAATTTGGGACCAGTGCCGTCGCAGGAGCTGCCAGCACGGGTTGAATTCAACTTCGAGCTGCCTTAGGGACTCCAACCCGGATTTTCCTCGAGGTTTACTCCTGAAGCCTTTTCCATGTGTGGATATAGCCGCAAGGCAGCAGAGGTTTGGGATAAGGGTTTTCCTTCCCCTAGGTAAACTGCCTTTCCAGGCTAGCGAGCTCTACCTGCCCTGTGCTGTAACCCTAGCAGGGGTGGCTGCGGGGCTGTAAACACTTGCCAAAGGTGTCACCCCAGACTCTGGTGGGCGGGGTCGTCCATGTCCCCGTGGTAGGCTGAGGTCCAACCTGTCCTACCCCAGTGCCCATAAAAAAGTAAAATTTAAAAGTAAAAGTAAAACAGTAAAAATCCAATAAAATTGATCGATCCTTCGAAGAGCTCTCATCCCGCTCCAGCAACATTTAAAAAAAAGAACAACAACGCAGCGAGAAGCAAATCGGATCTGGTACATTGTGACATGATGGCTTATCTGACGAAAGATGTCAAGGCTGTAGTTGGAACTGAGGCACCTCACAAAGATGTAATGAGTGTTAGGTTTTGTTAAAGAGTTGGACTATGTACTTCATTAATGGTTATTATCAACTGTTACGTTGAGAACTCAAGCTGCACTATTCAAAGATTCTTTCCTCGTTAACGTGTTAATTATACTTGTAGATTTCATGTTATTTTAAGTTACTTAAGCAAAGCTGTGGGTTACAGAATTTGATCAAACAGATAAAATGCGTTTGATTAGATTTGCAATTCATGTTAGCACTGATGACGAAATCAGTTGCCTTCAAATTTTCCTACTGTAATCGAAAGTTACACGGTGGCTTTCAGTGCCAATGTAGGAGTTCTGATCAAAATTGGTGTCTCAATGGAAATATTATGCCTTCAAATGCCCCAATTTTTGGACTTTGTCAAAACCAGGTTAAGTTCCCTTTACTTTAGAGCGAGGATAGGAAAGAAATGAAATGGACAAGTTGAAAAAGTTCAATGTTCCTGAAGTCTGATAGATATAGAATATAACCCAGTGGATTGAATTTACAGATGGCATTTATGTCTGTCACAGTAACTTGTATTTCGTTGTGCAAAAAATACAGGAAATGGGTGTTTTCCCAAGGGAAACCCATATTGATATAGATTTGAGCATTATCAACCCACCCGATTCCGCCTCGTTTTCTCGTGCATGTTGAGAAATTTTTAAGTATAAAGCTGGGAAAAAGAGCAATCAATAAAAAACAGAGCTACATCAAATTCAGTTAACAATAATAATTACATTATAATGGCAAATAATCTTAAAATTGTGACAATGGCGTGCTGTGCAAATTCATTTTTGAGAATGCAAAGTTTTCAGATTTATAATGGCAGAGTATTAGAATAGAAATATTATTGTGAAAAAACTTTTGAGTGACGTGCTGCAATGGTACAAAGTTTATGGAATAAAAATTAAGTGAGTAGTAGAATATTGATTATAAATTTAACAGAATTAAAAAAATCTGTCATTTAAATTCAATAAGATTAAAAGAGCTACATTACATGTTGCATTAGCAAAGAATATAGACATGAAAATAATCCCAAAATGACTTAACCATGACGTGCTGAAGTAATTCAAAACAGATACGGTTTGGAAGCTTGCTTTTCAAAGGTTGTCATTATAAGAGAAGAAAGACTTGATGCACAACATGGTGACCACATCCAACAGAATCAGCGGCATTTCAGTGCACTGGGCGACCACTACAAATCAATCCAACCGGATGAAAAAAAAACCTTATTCACGATGGCTCCTCTCAATCACATGCACAAAGGTCACTGTTCCTACCTCACCATTTTAAAGATGGCAGCAGCTAACTCGATCGTTATCCTGCCTCTCCCGCCAAATAAGCCATTTGACCAGATCACCTCGACTAACACGACCGAATTGGCCGCCTCGGTCAACACAGTCGACAGGACTGTCTCATCCAACACGACTGACGGAACTGCTAAAACACTTCTAAAGCTAGAAGAGCTCATGATCAGAAATCACGGACATTTTGCGCTGGTGTCACAGCGGATTTGGACCCACCCGTCCATATCCGTTAGCAGACGTGGACCCCCGTTCGCAGATTTTGACCCCCCTACCAAACTTTCCTTTTGAGCGTCGTTTGTATCGTATTTGGTAACTAATTCTATTTGCAAGCTTTCTGTCGATGTTCCTTTCAATCACAACGCAACATTCCTAAATAAAGGTAAAGAAAAACAGCCATTTCGTTCCAATTCTGCCGCATTTATTATAGCGAATCGTACAGTATACGCAAGAATTAGATGTGAACAAACTATTGCATTCGAACTATTGAAATTGTTACAATAAATCTTTGCTTCTTCTGATGCGAATCAACATCGATACGAAACGTCATAACAGTAGTGGAGACTATTGCGTCCAGTCACAAAAATAACTCAGTCTGATTTTCTAAAATAATAACATCAAACAGTTTCTGAACAAGAACGAAGAAACTGCTCCTACTACAAGTCGTTCATAAAGCCTATGACAAGTAAAAATGTTTCTTTTCTGATTTATTGGAACTCTCAGCTTATTTTCAGATGCAAATCAACATTAATGTCTACTTCTTAACAAAAGTGAAGACTATTACATCGAACTCAATCTTATTTTCTAATTTTAAAGATTATTAACTGTTGAGGGATCCGAAATAAGACCTTGACAGTTACGAGGACGTCTAGAGTCTGGCGGTCTGCGGACAATGCGGAGCCACTCGCCCTCCGGGGCAGTCTTAAATTCCTCGCAGCTCATGTGTAACCATTCCTCGCACAACTCGCACTGTACCATGTCGTCCCAACACTCGGGCATGAACAATGACAAAATAAATTAGTGTCACAAGTTTGTTTCTTATTGAATCTAGCGGTGTTCAACTATTGCGGAAAAGGTTCAAAAACGACCTTTCTCCAAACATTAAACTAAATGCTTGCCCATTTTCCCTCGGTCGAAAGAAACATTTGACTGGTCATTTCCAGCTGCCAGTTCGTATGCATTAACGATACGCATGTTTTGAATCAAAAACATACTTTAGTACGCACTGGAACGTAAAGTATCATCTATTTTTACAAGAACGTTAAGGATGATGTTTTCACTCAGTTTTGTTGCGCCGGGGGGGTCCATATGTCTACGTCTTAACAAAAGTGGAGACTATTACATCGAACTCAATCTTACCTTCTAATTTTAACGGAAAGACGAAAGGCTGCTTTCGAAGCGGAAAAGCGGCAAAGTAAGTACTTAATGCCTCTTTTAAAGCTGCTGTTCCAAGGCTTGTCTTTAGCTGACCGTTTCACTTCTTATTTATTTTCTGATAGGAGATAGAGTACCTTATCAAGTGGAAAGGATGGCCCATGTCATCATGTACCTGGGAGCCTGCCCTCCATCTATCTAAAGAGCTTATCAAGTGAGATGAATTATTCCCGCAACAACATAATTTTTCAGTTCATGCCAAAATGTAAAGAAAGCTTAAAAAAGTTGAAGTAAATATAGTGCGTTTAGAACAAGACAGGCTTTTTAGTTGACTTCCAATATCTAAAATACCTTGTTTTATTATAAGAATAATTAACATAAGCTGAAAAATGTATAACCCTTTTGTTAAGATTTTTTAAACGATTTGTTTTTGTCCTAATAAATCTGTTTTCTAAATCTCTTCTAGACTTTATAAAAAGCCTCCACAGCTCTCAGAAAAAGAAATTGCTTCAGCATCTAATGGCTTTTATCTGGCACTTGCGCAGTTAACATAGAGCATGATGTCTATCGATATTTTGTCAACTACAAAGGAATATCATCAAGGGACCCTAAGTACACCATGCTCAGCTTAAAGGATTTTAACAAGTTGTCTCTACCCTATCATTGGTCGTATATATTTGGACTCTCGTGGCCAGGGAAAGGCCGATGATTTTCCTTTAAAGATGAAAGCTTACCTTGGAAACTCACCAAAGCATTTCGTTGTGCATGCAGGGAAACGTCTTCAAGCACCAAAAATGCCCCTTGAGATGGTATCGCTCACAATGAATACTAAAGCATGCAGTGAAGAAAATTTACCAACCTAACTTTTAGCTAATTAATATTTTTTGTAACACCAACAAGGTATTGATATTTGGTTGATAGAGATACTTTTAAAGAAGGATGTACAGTTTTTACATTTGGATGTATTTAAGACATAGTACTACATGCTTGTCATCAATAACATTAAATTATGTTTTTATATGAAACTGAATGTGCTTAGAGGTGCTTTTAAGTTTCCATTTTGATTGACATTTATTTCCCCTGGTTTTCTACTTTTGAAAGGTAGCAGAATTTCAAGTGAATACAAGTCAAAGAGATATAAAAGTCAAACCAAATAGAAGTTGTGTAGCAATGCCTCCCCTGTTTTTAGTGAAGTAGAGAAATAAGTTGGGTTTTGTTCATTTCGCAGAGTCCTTTCCTCCTCTTTATTTCTTTGCAAATCCCTAATTTCACATATCAGCTTTTGCTTTTCTGCTGCTAGATCATTAAAATTTTTCTTCCAGTCTGAAAGCTCATCTCTTGTGAGATGAAGGTCCCTCTCCACTCCCCCAATAGACACTAGTTCACTGTGTAGAATGCTTAAAGTGAGATATTTTGACTAAACCTGTTCCCTTTTTCTTCCTTTAGTTTGCCTATATTTGCTTGCCACAACTCTTGCTTCTCTTTCTAGCCTGCCTTGGATAAGGTAGCCTGTCTCTCAACTAACTCTAAACCATGATCTGGAAACTGCGGCATTGAAAAAGTCAATATAATCACATCCATCCTGAACATTTTCATGCCATATCTTTAGTAATAGGTATGGTATATTTACTGCCTGTTTTATATACGACAAAGGTGGATCTGGGACAAAGATTTTCCATTCATAGCTTCTCTGCATGTACCTTGAAATTAGATCTGACATTTTTGTGATATATTTTGGGTTTCTTATATTTTATGTGAAAAAAAATCTGCATTTCTGAAGTCAAATTTACAAGTGTGTAAATCTAGGCTTTCTATAACAAGTCCCAGTTTCTCGATGCATTGGAACGCGCGTGTCTTATGAATGGTTCATTCAAACCTCGGCCTCCAGTTTTTTTATTGGGTATATATTCTGTGCCCATGCACATGGCCTATCTATACAGCCGAATAAGCCAGGTTACAAAGTTTATTTTGGGAGAAAGGAAATGGAAGCCCGTCGTAAAGAAATTTTGCGTAAGACCTGAGTGGTTTCTCGAACTCCACACGCACTCATATCAGTCGATTTGCAGACGTATTTAAAAGATAAAATTTGTCTTTTTAAAGTTCCCTTGGAACTTATTTCCTGCATGGGAGGAAGCCGCGAAATACCCTAAAAGAAACTGCAACAACAGGAGAATGTTATGTGAGGTCGGAGAACTACTATTTCTCGTAAGACGCCTAACCTTACGACCTTCGATGGAGGAAACCTCAGACAAATCTCAGACACTTGAAGGAGTTACACTGGAGCAAAAAACACCCAATTTGATATACATTTGGACCTTACAAGGAAGTCTCGTTGATTTATCTACTTATATTTTCGAATTTGTCGGATGTTCTAAAAAATAATGAGAAGTCGGGGAAACATGTGCAGCATCTCGAGATATTTTTATTTTTCAAGTTAGTTCATTGTTCCATGGATGTTATTGTAACGCTCCAGCCATTTTTTAAATGCTCCGTTCCCAAGCAACAAACGGATGGAACACAGTCCGTTGCTAAGATTTCCAATAATTCCATTACTGTTGCCGCCAAAAATTCGATTGATTACAAATTCGTACTCTTCTTTTGTCACATTTCATTCAGGCCTTTTGTTCTGCGCGCATAACTTTCATCAATATTCTGTTACTCTTTCCTGTATAATTTCCTTTTGTTTATGTCGCTTGTATTAGTCTTTACCGCGGATTTTATTCATTCGGATCAACCGTTGAACTATTTGAACCGTCCAACTGTTTATACCGTCTCTATCGCTCGCTTTACGCCGCTTTACGTTGCTTTAAGTCGCTTTACATCGTCTTTGATTTGGCAGTTGACCCAGATCTCGTGCAACGTTTGTAAGTGTCTTTTGTTTTCCTTTATTTTTGTTTTCTCGTTTGTTAATTTCTTTACCTTGAATTGTGACAACTATAACTTGTAATCCATTTCTTGCAACCGGTTACATATTTATTACTTAACTTCGTTTCGTTTAGTCATTTTGGAAGTAAAGTTGGACATGTGACGAGCATTTTTGGCTACAACACTGATGTACAACCCTATCAATTGGAGCTTCCTTAACAAAGACAAATATATGTTGTAAAAACCTAGGAAAAGCCCTTGGCCATCGAGCAGTGGTCAAGTTATTCTGTAGGGCCACTTCAAAAGCTATGAAGGACAACCTCAAAGCTAACCAGGAGCATTCGCCGGACCAAGTCGTTCTCTATGTCGGCTCCAATAACCGTAAATATAAAAACTGTTGCAAGATGCTGAATCGATCATAGGCAAATCGCCACCTCCGCTGTATCTAGGCTTACTTCTACAAGGGATGAACACTCAACAGAGCAGTGAAAGATGCGAATAAACATTTAAAAAGCTACTGCCGTCAGAATGGATGGAAACTTATCCAGTATCTAAAGATCACAGAGAAAGGCCTAATCAAGGGAGGACTGCATCTTAGTTGCAAAGGTAATCAAAACATTTTTAACAAATTTAACGCGCTCTCCGCAGATTTCCTGCGTGCTCAGTGTATTAAATCCAACAGTGGATGCCGTATACTGAATGAAAGTGGTAGAGAGGGTTCAACATGGGTTTGGCAAGGTGCAGGATGAGGCTTAAAATCGAGGCGGGATGTAGGATACGAGATTCTTTAAAGGCGAGATGCGGGATGAAGATAGGAAGGCGAGACCGGGACATACTCCGATTGGAAGGCGGGATAGGGGTTGAGACAGGTTTAGGCGAGCTCATAAAAAGTATTCCTTTGCTTTAGAAACGGGCTTAATCAATGCTGCAGTGTAAATTGAGGTTGACATGTCTAAATGATTCAGTAGTACGTCCAGTTTTCTCTGTATTAGCTACAAATGTTTACACAAAACTCCATGGTATATTCGATTTTCTCGCCCTCGTAATAATTTTTTATTTCTACTTAGGAAGTAGAACGTGTGGGAACAGGCCCTCTAATCAGCATTATTTTAACTGAAATAATAATAATAATGATGACAAAATTTATGTAGCGCCATTTCCATTCAGCCCAATGGCGCTTTACAATAAAAAAAGAAATATAAAAGTAAATCTAACCTACATATGATGAACAAATATGTAAACACATGATTTAAGAATATCTCATTAAGCAGTACTAAAAACTCTTGCGAGGCCCATATCTATTGCTAAGAAAAAATAAAATAACAAAATAATGCACAAAAAAATGGTCTATTCAGGAGAACTTGCTAGGCACTAAGGTGGATAATTTCTAATTTTAAATACAACTATTATCTATACCATTTAGCAAGTTAAAAGTGGGAGCATATAAATCTCAAACGAAACAGAGTTACGGTTAGTCTTTCGAGTCCCAACCAAGCCCAAAACCCTTGAAATTACAAGGTTTCAATGATGCGAGAGGTCTGAGGACTAATTTTTTCATACTGGCATGGCCTCTTCAACGAAATCTACGTTAAGATGAAGGGTTCAACAGCTGTTTTATGGTAATAAGGTTAGCATCGCAGCAATCGTAATGTAGGTAGAATCTTTTTGTTAAGTCTCTTGATTTTTTTACAAAAGAAAATTTGGAGTTATTCACTCGGAGAATGGGCTATTTTTGGTGGAAAATCAGCATCTTTCCAAAGTGCCGGAGGGTTGTTCACGTAGAATGTTTATCGAAATCACTGCGCGTACTCCTCTGATCTTGGAATCTTGTACTGCGTCGGTTGACTCTTGACTTGGGGAGCATTTTCAAGTCATGCCGTTAGGGTTTTAGCTGGTAATGGGAGGGTCGTAATGAAGCGGGGACGACCTCAAGAGGACGAAGACCTCAAAGAAAAAAGGATATCGAGTGAGTTCCCTCCAGTTTACAGTGTTTGTGGCCGAAGGCGAAGCCTGGGAAACATACGAACACTTGGTGAGCCAAACAAGGCGAGTCATCTTATATTTGATATATCTTAAATTCATTCGTACAAACATTCTAATTCTCATGATAAGTCACAAGAGCTTATGTGTTGTTTCAACATGCCCCCCCTGGGTCATAGGTCTGCTTTTAAGGTATGCTGAATGGATGTCGATGATTGCATCAGTGTGCTAAAGTTGACTGGTTTTCAAAGAAGTTGTTTGATAGCCTGTTTAACAATTAGACATTGAGTTCTTAGTTTTCTAAGTAAATAAACCTTTTAGCCATGTGGTAACATGGTTTGAAATGGGTAAACAAGAATTAAAAATGACTGCTCAAGTATGTGCTTCAGATGACATCTTATAGATGAAACTGCCTCTTCTATTGCTGAAACTTTCATTGTCACAGGTAAATCAGTGCTTAAAAGAGTGTGGTATTAGAAATTGGCAACAAAGGAAATGGAGGTTGTAGTTAAGATCACAAACACCTCAAGCTGGAACGACAAACTTTTGAATGAATGATCTTTCAAGGTCACAACATGCAATATTCCAAAGACAACAAATGCTCTGCGAACATAAAGTCATAGTATCCCTGAATAGCCTGCCTCAAATTTTACTTGAATCCATGTCTGGAATTTTTATCTTCAAGATAAATTTATGGCATTTTCCCTCTCTTTCTTCACCCTTTTGGAAGACTTAAGCAAGCTTTTCTGCCCAGCCTTTCAACATTTTCTGTTGTAGCCAGAACCACAGCTACTTAATGCCAAGTTGAATTTGGCACTTTGATCTTGAAAATTCTGGTGGAATTATTCAATTACTGATTTTGAGGCTGGGGCATGTGTGTTGCTGATGGCGTCCCTGTGATTGGCTAGGGTATAAAGCTATTTGCGGTCTGAGGGGGAAAAAGTGTGGACTTATCTTTGTTGTTGGATTAACTTTGGCAGAATTCTTAGCTGTATAAATATTTGATAAATTTAATTGA